ATTTTGATCAAATTTTACAAAGGTCTGTGGCATGTACTAAATATTGCACAGTAATACGGTTCACAGCAAGGAGTTAATCTTTACCTTCAATTTGTTTTTTTTATTGATCGTTCTACAATTTTTTTTCACCGAGTTATTGAACGTTGAAGTAAAAATGTCGCATATGTACACGGAATCGGAACGACGGAACGGATTTCTTAGAAATAAGTTCACTAGAATTCCATTCCATAAGAAGTTTCTCTGCTGTATCGGAACCATCGGAACTATGGCCGGAACGGTACCGAATCAACGGAATGTCATGTCGGTTGCATGTGGTTGCAGGTTATGTCAACTAATATGCCAACTTGGTATATTTCTTGCATTTCGCAATAATTTTAGCATTACAGGTAACACTACTTCTTCATCCATCATTGTAGATTTCCAAGAAAAGGTTTCTGAATATTCGTTTCAATTTTTACATTCAATCAACTCAGCTGAATATACCATTCCGTTCCGTAAGAAGTTTTTCTTCCCATTCCATGTAGCCGGAATGCAATGGAATTTTGGTAACAAAATATATCTCACTTTTATAATTCAGTATTTTTGTGTATTCAAAGTAATGTTATAGGTAAGATAATTGCACAAATTATGTATATTACTGCTTTAGTCGCACTAAAATAACGAAATATCGATTAAATTAAGCAAATTAACTTGCGACCGAGATGACATTCCGTCCATTTTCATTCCGTTCCGGCTACATGGGACGGTCAGAGAAACTTTTTACGGAACGGAATTGTATGTTCAGTTGAGTTGGTTGAATGTAAAAATTGAAACGAATATTCAGAAACCTTAAACCAAATCTTAAATTTTCTAGTAAGAAATCCGTTCTGTCGTTACGATTCCGTGTACATGGGACGGCACCCCAGGAACAAAGTCGGAATGGATTCCGATCGGAATTCTTCCGTTTTCCCCAGGAAACACAGGCTGCATTCCGTTTTACGCATGATGTGCATAATTCACCATTTATCCTTGTTTAACATTCGGTGAATAACAAGGATAAAAGATGCATCATGTGTGAAATGGGACGCAGCCACAATAAAAATCTAGGGAATAATTGAATAATTCCGATCGGAATCCATTCCGACTTTTGCCTAGTTTACATCGTGCACTTGATACGGATACTAATAATTTTCTATTGAATTATCTTAATTTGGACGAAACTTGTAAACATATACATGATATGTGTATTTAATTATTCATTTTGATGCATATTCTACCAATTTAGTCATCATTCTTTAAATATATTGCTGAAATTAAAATAATTTAATAGAAAGTTACTAGTTAATACGCGTATCAAGTGCTCGATGTAAAAGGGGTC